TGTTTAGGTTTTTATAAATCGAGCTTTTCGTTTAAGCGACGCGTAGAATAGTTGATATTTTAAAAATACGCCAACCATTCTTAGATTTTGATCATATAGAATATTATTAATTATGATGCAATCGTTTTTTACATTTCATCATTTGTACGAAGTTCATAAATAAAAAATTTCATTTACAGGATTTCGTCTTGTACTTTATCTCTTCTCTTCTGTTAAAAAAGATAAGGATAATACTGAAGAAGTTAGTAAGACATCCGCAAATATGTCGAATAAAAGTGAAAGTGGTGACGTAGTTCAGGAAAATTCAAATTTTAATCAAGATACCAAGGAAGTAGAGAAGGATCAAATCAATAAAAAAGACGACGATGATTCATCCGTTAATAAAACATCTGCAAATGTTTCGAATAAAAATGAAAGTGGTGATATAAATCAGGAGAAATCAAATTTTAACCAAGATAACAAAGAAGATAATGATTCATCCGTTAGTAAGACATCTACAAATATGTTGAATAGAAATGAAAGTGGTGACGTAGTTCAGGAAAAATCAAATTCTGATCAAGATAAAAAAGAGGATAAAAAAGAGGATAACAAAGAGGGTGAATTACCAGAGAAAATCAATGAAAAAGACGAAGATCTTTCATCCGTTAGTAATATATATTTTTTTATCTGTTCATTTGTACTGTATACTATCGGTTACAATACTTATTATTTTCATGGTTAATTATAAAAGATCGAGCAATATTTACAAACAGATCCAAAAACCGGTTTGACAACAGAAGAGGCTCAAACACGCTTGGACCAATTTGGAAGAAATGAAATTACAGAAACAAAGCCGTAAGTTTATAAATTTCATGTTTTGTTCCGATTATAACTTCAATTCATATATTTATCGATTTTCTAATGTCTATAGTAACTTATTCTTAAAATTCCTTTCGTACTTTCGAGGCCCGATCGCCTACTTGATTGAGGTAGCTTGTATAGTGGCAGGCATAGTTAAAGATTGGGTAGATTTCGGCATAATCCTCGCGCTTTTGATTGTGAACGCATTAATAGGTTTCATAGAAGAAACACGTGCGGAATCTGCGTTAGAAGCGTTAAAGCAATCCTTGGCGTTAAAAACGAAGGCTATGCGTGATGGAAAACTGATCGAATTGGATGCCGCGGAATTGGTTCCAGGTGACATCATTACTTTGCGGATTGGAAATATTGTACCAGCTGATGCAAAATTATTAGGGGTTAATATTAGTGGTTCGGAGACCTCAGAATACTTGATGGTAGATCAATCGGCATTAACTGGTATGCGTATTATATTATTATTACTCATTTTTCTTTGAATGCTGCGAAATTCTTGATTAGCTTAAAATTTAAACCCAGGTGAAAGTTTACCGGCACATCGCAATAAAGGAGATATTGTATATTCAAGGTAATTATAATACAGTATAACGATAAATGTTAACATCCAAATTTTCTCCATATAACCGAATTTTGTCGATTATGATAACAGTTCTATAATTAAACAGGGGCAAATGTTGGCTATTGTTGTCAAAAGTAAATAACCATTTAATTTTAATCTAGAATTTTAATGAATTTATTATTTCCAATCTATTTATTTTTAATAATTATTTTTTAATTTGTAAAAAGCCGGGAAAGATACATATATTGGACGTGCCGCTACTCTTATGAACGCGGCCGTGGATCAAGGTCATTTCCAAAAAGTCGTTAATAAAATTGGCAACTTCCTGATTTTGATTACAGTCACTCTTGTAATCATCATTTTTATATATCAAGCGGTCAAATTTCGAGGTACACCTTCTGGTAATATACTAGAAATTTTGCAACATGTTCTGGTGTTGACGGTTGCAGCTATTCCGGTACATATTTTCCTAATACGAATCTATAACTTTTTTTTTTTTATATTAAAAAAAATAACAATGAATTAATTGTGATTATGTTATCTCTTGCTCTTGTAAAGGTTGGTTTACCCACTGTCCTTTCTGTAACTATGGCTGTAGGAGCAAAGCAACTAGCTAAAAAACAAGTAATTATTAGGCGCTTAGCAGCCGTAGAAGAATTGGCTTCTGTATCGGTTCTTTGTTCTGACAAAACCGGTACACTCACCCTCAACGAACTATCCACCGATGAATCATGGTTGACACCTTCTTATAATGAAAATGATCTTTTCTTATATGCCTACATATGTTCCGAAGAAGGCACAGATGATGCGATAGAATTAGCCGTTAGAGATGCGGCAACAAAAAAAGTTGATGTTTTAAAAAATAGCGAAAATGAACATGAAATTCCTGGCTTCAAAATCACATCATTTACTCCTTTTAATCCCTCAAAAAAATTCTCTGAAGCCACTGCGATAAACCTTGAAACGCAAGAAAAATTTAAAATAGTCAAAGGTGCTCCACAAGTTATAACCAAACTTGCAGGTGGAAGTCAGGAAGCCGATCGTGCTGTAATCGATTTAGCGTCACGTGGATTACGCGCTCTTGGCGTTGCAAGAACCAACCCAATTAATCCTTCTGATAACGAAAATTCCCAACAACTAAAATGGGAATTGGTGGGATTTTTAAGTTTACTCGATCCTCCTCGACCAGATTCGAAAGAAATTTTAAAAAAATGTGAAGAATTAGGTATCAATATTAAAATGGTAACAGGTGATCAATTAATTATTGCTAAAGAAGTTGCAAAACGACTTGGAATGGGTAGAGTTATACTAGATACAAATCATCTGGTCGATTCCACGAAATCTGATGAAGAGGTTACGGAGCACTGTGTAAAAGCTGATGGTTTTGCTCAAGTAATTCCTGAACATAAATATAGAGTCGTTGAATTATTACAAAAGAAAGGATATGTTGTTGGAATGACGGTATTAATACTTAATTTATGAATGAATTTATGGTTTCTTTTATTGTCTCATTATTTTCTTTTTTCTTTAAATAGGGAGATGGTGTAAATGATGCACCAGCTCTAAAACGCGCGGATGTTGGAATAGCAGTGGCAGGATGTACAGATGCAGCTAGATCTGCTTCCGATATTGTACTGTTAGCACCTGGTCTTGCAACAATAATTGACGGAATAATGACTTCCCGAGCTATATTTCAACGTATGAGATCCTATTCTTTATATCGTATAACCTCTACGGTACACTTTTTATTATTTTTCTTTTGCATAATCTTGGCTAAGGATTGGAATCTACCTGCCGTATTGTTGATTATGATTGCAATGTTGAATGATGCTGCAACATTGGTTATTGCGGTTGATAATGCTCAGGTATGAATGAGTGTTGTGAAAGTACGAAAGTGTTAATTTTTTTTTTTTATTTATATTCCGAATGTATTATTTTATTTTTTTCTTATTATTCTAAGATATCTGGAGGTCCAGATAAATGGCGTATCGGACAACTAATCACGCTTAGCATAATTTTGGGAATCCTTTTAACAATGTTTAGTTTTGCACATTATTTCATTTTCTCAGAAGTAATTAAAGTGACTCAAGGTAATTTACCAAGGATACCATATCTTCATTTCTTTCTTCGTATATTTTTAATTTACCTTTTTCAATTTTGATTCCCTTCTCTTATAACCACCCAACATTGACAAAAGGACAACTTTACACCGTAATGTATTTACATATATCATCAGCTCCACACTTTGTAATATTCTCTACACGACTATCAGGTCATTTCTGGGAAGTTCTTCCTTCTCCGCTTTTTGTTGCTTCAATATTGGGTACACAAATTTTCGCAATGCTTATATCGGTTTTCGGATTGCTTACTGAAGCTATTGGATGGGTCAAATCCATTGTTATTTTGGCGGTGGGTTTTTAAGCCATTCGAATGTTACTTATTCTATATTTATAAAATTTATATTAATCACATTATTTGTATCCTCGTTTAATTGTTAAACCAAGTAGATCTCCTTAGGAATATTTGTATTCCTTGACTTTGTTAAAGTGCTTGTATATCGTTATTGGTCTTTAGAATTGATATCTAAAATTTATCCAGTACCATCAAAGCGTAAAGAGTTAGCTGCACGTCATGAACGATCTTCATTTTTGACAAGATATGCTAAAAGTGTTGAAAAAATGAGAAAAATATTATTAATGGTTAAAGTGATTAATACATTTAGACAAGCGGTTGATGAACGACAAGGATGAAAATTGTACGTGCAGTGTCTTGGAGTATCATGTTGGTTTTAGATAGTTCGTTTCTCTATGACATATTGAAAGATTCTTAACACGCAAGATTTTTTATAGACGCGTTATTTATCGTTCATGTATTTTAATGACAAGTTAATATTTTACTGATAAGCCATTTCTTTATAATGGGTATTTTTTCTGCACTTCATGAAGAATTAATGCCTTTTTTATGCCTTAAATTTTATTATTTTATTGAAAATAATTCTAAATTAATACAAATATCTAAGAGCGAATAAATTATTATAAAACCCTTATTTATAAATTTCAGAATATCTGGTAAAAATTGACCGAATGATTATTTGGCCGATTCGATAAGTGTTTGATTCGGCAGTGATAAACTTTTACAGATGTTTTCATTATTTTTGGGACACCTGGAAAATTTTTTACAGCTGTTTTCATAAATTCTGGGACACCTAAAAATTTTCTCGTTTCCCGAAATCTCTTCGGTTTCGTCCTATGGATCATCTAACTCTTCGAAAATACATCGCTATCTCCGGAATGAAGTTCTGAAGAAAATGGAGTGATTCCGAAGAGTTAGGTGACCTTTAGGACGAAATCGAAGAGATTTCGAGAAACGAGAAAATTTTTAGGTGTCCCAGAATTTAAACAGCTGTAATTCGGGACGTGATTAATATATGTATGTTGTACATCAGAATGGAATTATTATAGATTTAGAATCCACCCAGGTTGATTCCGAATAAACATAGATTGAAATAGAATTCTAAAATGTGCCCGAGTCGTTAAAAAAAATTCCAATCACGGCTGTTTTCATAAATTCTGGATCAACTGAAAAAATTGCCAATGACCGAATCGATCGGAATCAATAGGTAACCGACTTCGGCCGAACTCAGAAACTTATCGATTCGGCCATCTGCATTTTTACAGTTGTTCCAGGATTTATGAAAAACAGCAGTAGTAACTTACAACAAAATTTATGTGTATCCAAATTATTCATCGAGTACGTTGTTTTGGAATTTAAGTCGCTTTAAGATAGAATTTTATTCATAAATTTTTGCATCTATGATAGGGGATGGCGACATTTTTTATATTTATAGCGATTTTTGTTTCATGCATTTTTACAATTGCATTTAATATTACCTACTTGTGAAGAGGATTGCTTTTCGAATGCTTATGAGTAATTTTGGGTAATTTACGTAAGTTATTTTAACTGACGTAAGTTTAATTTTAAGTCATATAACTTACATGTAAGTTAAAGATTATTCGAAAATAATAGCTTAGCCTTGCTCATTATTTAACCGTGGTTAAATCGCCACCTAAAAAATTTCAGAACATATATGATTCCATTATTTTTTATGAAAAATTTTATTAATAAGCATCATACAACTGATATAATTGATACAACTCATTCTCGTTTAATGAACTCTCATTATGGTGAAGATTCGATATATTGAATTCCGGAATTGTTAAACTCCAACTCGATATAATGAAGTACATATCAGATATAGTATTCTCTCGATATAAGCTATAGTGTAAATTTTTTTTCTCAGCCCAGGGACTTCACTATAACGAAAGTGTATATCGTAATTATTAAATCACATAATCTGAATTTTTTTTAAACGGCGATTTAACCTGTGTTCATTGATTGTCTATCTCGGAAAAAACCATACTTTACATTATCAAAAAAATTTAGTCTTAATGCTAGCCAAGTCTATTCCAGCATTAAATCTTGTAACTTACATAAGAGTCATATAACTTACAATGTAGATTACCAACTCTACTTATGAGCATTGAAAACTATTTAATAGGCTTCCGCACGGGTAGAGCCGGGTACTAGTGGTACCCATTTTAGGTAGCGTACCCACAAAAATTTTCCACACCCTGTAATTTTTTATCAAGAATAAAACAGCGTTGTAGTTAGGGTTAGGGTCGGAGTAACTCTATGTCTAATAGTAAAATTTCACAAGGAGTATTTTTAATTAGGCCGCAGTAGATGGTTTCTTAATTAAAATTCAGTTATTTCTATTTTTTGTAAAAAAATGCCTTCGCTTCGATTGTTTACACACCTGATCTTGAGATTTGATTGGTCAAAGATCACGTTTCCGGAAAATTTTTGTGGGGTTCGGTTTTCAACACCCGTGCCCGGCCCATTAGGATATGGGCAGTGTTGTCATTGAACAATACTTTGGACAATTTTAGACAATCTTGGACAATTAAATAAAGTAAAATTACTTAAAATTTTATTAAGATAATCTATTTTAATTTTAATTGAAATAAATTTAGCACCTAAAAAAATATATATATAGTTATATATTTTTTAGACAGATTTATTAATTATTAAAGCCTAGACAAGCTATGGACAATCTTGGACACTTGGACAATTTTGGACATGGACAAGTCAAAAAAGGCTTTGGACAGCCAAAACGTACAACACTGCCCTAGCCATGGCAAAAAAAATTCGGGTTGGCTGACGATCTGCAGTAAATTAGCCAATAACGATTTCCCGATTTGGTGTAACGTAACACGATCAGGGTTCGCTCTAAAGAAAATTAGAAGTCGCTTATTTCTCGACAAACTTCATAAGAAGCAACCTTCTTCACACTAACAAAAAATGATTTTACCTATAGTACTCTCAAACCCTAACACTAATTTAAAGAAACTTAAAGATTTTTATCGGTTATTAGCTGACCCGAATTGTTGGTAAAATTGCTCATATAATGATAATGTTGACCATATGTTATCTGTTATGATTTAAAATATAGCAGATAGTGTTTATCTAAATGATTTACAAACATAGTGCAGCTGTTGTATCTAAAGTTACTATCTATCTGAAGTTGCAACTTTAGATATATAAAGCTGCACCTAACCAGAATTATATATATGAAGATCTAATTTTAGAGCTTAATTTTAGTCAGATCAACTTTATATGAGATGTCCCCAATTAAAACAGCCCATATTTACATATGCCTCATTTTGAGATAATAGAGTTTAATCATTTGTTTTGATTTTTGAACTGATCCAGGATTAATCAAATTTCATGATTTTGATTGGTTAAAGATAACAGGTGACTATCGGGTAATCTTGTAATATGCTTAACTTTAGAAAGTCTCGTGTAATTTTTCTAATATTGAAATTAAAATTTTTAATATCAAAAGAACTT